GTGGAGGGGTGTGCTCTCCCTCATGGCCCACCAAATTGGATCCTTCCATTAATGGAAAGATTGAAGCAATCAATTTACCTATTACTTTAAAAGACTATTTTATCTTTTGATTAAATTATTAACAAAAAGTTTAAATGGATAATATAGTAATTTAACAAAGAATTGCCATCTATCCTTTCAACTCCCTCTCCATCCTACCAAACAATATGAATGATTGCTACAACCCTCTCCATCTCTCCTATCCCCATCCATCCGACTCTGTCTATCCTTCTTATTCTCAATCCCTCCAACTAAGCGAAGCCTTAAAACCCATTCTCATTCCCTTTGTACTTCGTATAGACTAGGGAGATTTAGACATATGGCCGTATTACAACTCTATTGAAATATGGCTTAGGTTTGAGAATATTTCATACATGTCCTAATTGAAATATCGCTTACAACTCGAATTCTCCATTGTTTCTTTTCTTACATTTTCTTACTTGTTTGTGTATGGAATTCCTCTCCTATGAGAGATGTATGTGAGATGAATAAAAAGAACTTGACCCATTTTCAAGTAATTTTCTCTGCGTTAGCTGTTAAGTTAGCTGTTAAATTGTTATTTTGAGTTGGTACGTAACATTACATTATTAACTTTATAATGATATGTTACTTTTTTTTTTTTACATAATTTGTTCTACTTTTTCTCATGATTTGTGGGATATCTAATCATAAAAAAGTTGACAATTAGTTATCATTATTTTACATTTAAAAGGGGATATAAGAGTGCGGTTTAAATTTATAATTCACCTTTGCTTCATTCGACGAAGACAACACCAATAACAAACCCTCACTAGAGTAATGGCTCGAACACGACTGCCAGAAAAGAAAACGAAAAAACATCGCCAATTCCCCTCGCCCAATCAGTCCCATGGTTGGCCCTATTGTTAGGGATACTTTTGATGGGGTTGTGAGTGTTCAAACCCCCGTAGATAATTCACAATCAGCGGGCGTTAACTTGCCGCCACCTATTGGAATTGATGTAGTAACAACATATGTTGTAAGTATTTCATCGTATGACGTTATTTAATTTTCTTTTAAAAAATAAATTTGTTGTAAAAATTACTTTTGATTTTGTTCTTTCATTTGAACATGTTGTACGAGACGCATTATATTATAATTAATATTACATTATATTAATGATGTTCTATTTTGATGATATGTTAGTATTTTTGAACCATTTGTTGTTTTTTTTTTTTGTATTTATTTATTTGTATTTTAATGTTTGCGTTTTTTGTTTTTTGTTTTTTTTTTACGAAATGTTCCTTCATAGACCGTGATTTCTGTATATAATTATAAAGTGTTGTATCATACCAAATCGTAATTGGAGTAAAAATGTTTGCGGTACCATTCCTTCGTTCATTAAACCACTTCAATAATAACTGGATCCAACAATCAACGACCCTTGATACTGAAAATTCTCTATTATACCCGACGACTTCTTTTAAATATTGACGTATTTATGAATTAATGTCGTTCAACTGACGCATGTACCTCTCGCAATCAGAAATTGTATAAGCCCTAGCGCTAGCTTCAAAAGCACTAACAATGTTAGTTTATCAATTTATCTCAAAAACTTAAACTATTAAGAGGCGGATCAATAATAATTTTATACTTTAACACTCTCCCTCATGTGTGGGCTGAACAATGAGCAATCATATAGGTAAATTAATTAGAAAGCCCAACACGTGAAATATTTAAGCCTGAGATATATTAAAGACCCAACACATGATGACAATTTAAATGAGAATAAAGAGTACAATTACAGGAGTTTGAACACAGGACCTCCCGCTCTGATACCATGTTAGTTTACCAATCCATCCCAAAAATTTAAGCTATTAAGAGGCGAACCAACAATAATTTTATACTTTAACAGCAACTTTAAAATTTGTTTTCAGATTACCATGCAAGTGGTAGATACATAAACCATGTTGGGCATGGGAAAAACTTTCGCAACAGCATAAGCTATACTATCATGCCTGTCTGAAACGAAAACCAAATCTTCACGTTGTCCGATTACTTCCTTTGTTAGTTTATCAATTAATCCCAAAAGCTTAAGCTGTTAGGATGTAAGTCAATAATAATTTTTATATTTTAACACTCTCCCTCACGTGTGGGTTGGACAATGAGCAATTGTGTGGGTAGATTAATTAGAAAGCTCAACACGTAAATATTTAAGCCTGAGATATATTAAAAACGCAACACATGATGATAATTTAAATGGGAATAAAAAATACAATTACAAAAATTAAAACTCAAGACCTTCCGCTCTGATACCATGTTAGTTTACCAATTAATCTCAAAAGCTTAAACTATTAAGAGGTGAACCAACAATAATTTTTATATTTTAACTCCCTTTAATTTAACTAAAAACCACTCCCATGATTTATTATTTTCAAGAGTCCACGAATACAAATGCTAGTAGGAATATCTGGTTATTACCATCAAGAGTACTAGCAATCAACATCACACTGGCATACTTGTTCTTCGAATGCGTTTCATCAATAGAAATGACTGGGCGACAATGGCGCAATCCAATAAGTATAAGAAACGACCCTTATCATTGGTCATTAATCCAGTGATTGTTCCTGCATTTGTTAAAAAAAAAAAAAAAAAAAACAAAGTCCATCAAAATAATGATAGTGTCATTAAAATAATGTAGATAACAATAGCTGGAAACATATTAATTGTCTAATAAAAAATAAAAAATAAAGAATAAAGTTTATACCAGGATTAGTGGACTCCAAAACAAAGCAATAAGATGGCAGTTCTGAGTACGATTCATCAGACAATCCCCTAATATATAGCATCTAATGCCAATCCTTGTGCCCTCCATGCCTTGTTATAACTAATATTTGCCTTATGCTTCTGACGCACGTGGTCAATAATGTCTCCAGGGGTAGTCCTATCTCCATTTTTTTTTTTTTCAGAAAATCTATCCTTCATGCGGCTATTAATTATTAAGGTCTCGTTTATTTCACCGATTCGAGTTTTCAGTTTTAGGTTTCTACAGTAAAAAACTCTCAGAAAATGTCACATCTAATTTTTTCTACTACAGTGAAAAGCTTTCAAAAAATATTACATCTCAGTTCGAATTAAAAACTCGAATCCACGAAATGAACGAGGCCATATTACTCGCTTGACGATGATCTGATTGAACAATCTCTAATTTACAAGAATGCTCGCGGACATATTTACGAACTTTCCACAAGTGCCCTCCTCTCAACCTGGAAGCCCTAAAGTATCAATCACACTTGTCTTCCTTACAATGAACGACTAATACTGTGCCATTTGATTTCTTTGTTTTGAATTTGAAATTGTTCTTCAACGCGATCATATGCAATGCCTTTTGCAATTCAAACTTGGATTTGAAAGCTGCATTATCGTCTATATCGTAAGTATCTGGCATGCTTGTTACATCGACATGGTCAATAACAAAATCATCGTCGGTTATGTGCATCTCACGATCATTCATATCATCAAACATTATCCAAAAATTCCGTAAATACATTGCCAACTTCAATACTATTGGTTGCCGATCCCATCAGTTCAAACGTCAAAAGCCTTAAAAAAAAAAAAAAAAACAATACCGGTGAAATCACATATCATTATATATACAAAACAATAAAAAAGATACGACAATATAACTACGAAACAATAACAAGAGTAGTAATATATGTAAACGCAAATTAAAGGGGAAAAGAAAAAAAATCTTACACGGCTCTCAAAACTCAATAACCTCTCAAAAACTATTGCAGGGAGCCAAAGTAATTAAAAAACGTTAAAAGCTAGATGAAATGGGCGGTAATAATTTAAATTTTCAGATTTAAATGAATTGTTTTTTTTTTTTTCTTTGCTGGAAGAGACAAACTATGGCAGTTAGTTATAAACAAAAAATGCCCAGTAAAATAAATAGAAGGGCAATTTTGGGTGTAAAAAAATACAATTTTTAAAAAAGGCGATATATGTGATATTTGAAAAGGAAGCCACATTTTATTTCAACTCTTAAAAAAGGGTTTTACTATAGACTAATTAAATGGGCCCCTGGTTGGAACGTGGGCCGGTTCGGCCTACTTGAGCCTTGAATCGAAAGCCCAAGTCCTAAGCCGTTTTAAGGCCAATACAATTTTAATAGAGTTTGCCCGTTCAGCCTTGTCCATTTAGCTGTCAAATTTAACAACTAACAGAAGGCAATGCTTGCATAAATGAAAAAGAAAAAAAAGGAAAAAAAAAAAAGAAGAGTATTAACAGAAGGCATGGAAAGAAAATTAGTTAGGGTAAATGGGAATTCCTAAGTTTGAGTTTTATAACAAGCACTTTGAAACTATTTATTAGGTGACAACTCAACAACTCAATATGCTTAGCTTTTGATGGAGTTAAAAAATAACACGTCTCTCGACATGACAGATTCAGTTTTAGTCTCTCGACGTACCTATAATTTATTATGAATGTACAGTACACGACTAATAATCATGTATTAAGAGGATAGTTATTGTTGTTTGTCCCATTTTCTAACAGAAAAACCTCAACTAGGGCCCCAAAGATTTTGTATTGTAGTCACCACTCTTATTTTTTTTTTCAATTGTTTATTTTTTATTTAACAAACTTTAACTGAAATATTGGAATTTATGTAATAGAATCAGAAAAATATGGCTTTGTTCATTTCACGGATTCGAGTTTTCAATTCGAGTTAGAGATGTGACATTTTCTAAGAGTTGTTCACTGTAGCAGAAAAAGTTAGATAAGACATTTTTTAAAAATTTTTCACTGTAAAAATTTAAAATTAAAAACTCAAATCAATGAAATGAATGAGGCTAAATTTCTATAATTCTCTATATTCAATCATTAAATGTATATCACAAATTATTTATTTTATATATATTTTTAATTTAACGTGATTTTTATTATATAGTATGAAAAAAAAGCCTGCCACATAAATCCTAATTACTTTTTGCAGAGAGAGTTTCAGAGAATCAGAACACATCTTTCAGCCATAGGAAAAACGATCGGACCCAGCCGCCTCAGCAAGCAAAAGCCAACAACATCACGTGGACTATTCTCATCCTCAATCCTCATAACACCCTCCCTGGGTCCCACTCTCAAACTCTTTCCTTTCTTTCACCTCCCTCCCTCTCTCTCTCTGAACACTCTCTCCTCTCCCAAACGAACTCACACCACAATATCACAGAGAGAGAGAGAATCAAGCTTGAATTCCGATGGACGAGGTTTCGAGCGGGGCTCTGGTCCCGGCGGTGAAGCCGGAATCGAGGACATCGGCGTCCGTCGCCGGCGCCGCGTCGTCGTCGCAGGATCCGCTTGCCGGGGACGCCGCGGCGGCGGCGGCGGTGGCTGCCGGAGCGACGGAGGTGGACAAGGATTTCCTCTGCCCGATTTGCATGCAGACGATAAAGGACGCATTCCTGACGGCGTGCGGGCACAGCTTCTGCTACATGTGCATCATCACTCACCTCCGCAACAAGAGCGATTGCCCTTGCTGCTCCCATTTCCTCACCACCAAGCAGCTCTTCCCCAATTTCTTGCTCGACAAGGTTCGCCTCCTTCTTCTCGATTTCCTTTTCTTCTGTTCACCGCTTCTCTTTTCACTTTTTCTGTCAAATGCGTTCATCGGAGTGTTGTTGTAGCAGAGATTGAATAATCCTCTGAATCTAATCAAGATCGAACGAGAAATTATTGAGAATTAACCGGAAACAAATGACAACTAAGATTACGTTTTTACACCCTCAGGTTTTATATGATTACGATCAGTTTCTAGTCTCAGAGATCAGGGGAACTTGTTCGTCTTTTAGCTTTACGAATTTCAGTTGTTTTTAGGCCATTATATATTAGCTTGCCGATATATTAACTAGATAAATAAGTTTAGAGCCAATTACTATTTGTGTTATAGTATTCTGTTTAGAGACGAAATTTATGATTAGTGTTTGAATGTGGTTAAGAGAAGTTCTATTTGTGAAATCGGAAAAAATGGAATGCTTGGAAATGCAATGTGGCTTATTGTTAATTGTTATACACGGTTTCTCTGTGCTATATTTGTAGTTACTGAAGAAAACTTGTGCTCGTCAAATATCGAAGACGGCATCTCCAGTGGAGCACTTTCGCCAGGCGCTGCAGCAGGTGCTCGATTTCTTTGACGGTTTGTGATTTTTGCCGGATATGTTGATTTTCGAATTCCCGTGTGACACTTTGTTTTGATGCTTAGACAGGGCTGCGAAGTTTCAATTAAGGAGGTAGATACGCTCTTGGCCCTCCTCGCGGACAAAAAGAGGAAAATGGAACAAGAAGAAGCTGAGAGAAACATGCAAATACTGCTAGACTTCTTGCATTGCTTGAGGAAGCAAAAAGTCGAAGAGCTCAACGAGGTTTGCTGTTTTATTGGAAAAATTTAAACCCATCTACTTGTGGCCTTGGCATTTAATCTTTGCAGAATAACTTAGAGTAAATGATAGACAAGTTAATGGAATTCAGTTTCTTGTTTTAGGTGCAAACTGATCTCCAGTTTGTTAAAGAGGACATAAATTCTGTGGAGAGACATAGGATGGACTTGTATCGTGCAAAGGAAAGGTACTCTTTGAAGCTCCGGACAGTTGGAGAGGATTCCAGTGCCAGAAAACCGTGGCATTCATTGATCGACAAGAATAGTAGCGGTCCTATCTCCAGTCCTCTTAATCTTCGTGGAGGAATGTCCTCTGGGAATCTTCAAATTAAGAAATTGGATGGAAGGGGTCAAGTAAATTCTTCGGGACTCCAGAGAAAGGATTCTATGAGTGGATCAGATTCACAGTATATTAACCAATCGGGTCTAGCTGTTGTGAGAAAAAAACGAGTCCATGCACAGGTGAGTCTGTTTTTACAGGACTCTGTTTTTGGCTTCCATGTTTGCCTTTTCCTTATATTTGTGCCTGATAGTCATTTTAATATTCCTATAATCTCAATATAAGCTGGTGGTTTTCTGGTTAAGGGAGGACAATAGGAAAGGATAAACTGTCAAGAACTTCCCCAACTCTCCATAAGTGCATTCAATCTCCTGTTGAATTTTTTTCTTTTACTTTGTTGCAAAATTGCTTATGCAAGCTGATTGAGTTTGGTTACATTTACATGCTTGGTATGCATATTAATGAGTGTTTCATTATCTGAGTGAACCAAGTTACTTTGAGAAAACTCGACTGTTATTTATTTATTGATTCGTTATCTGAGTGAACCAAGTTACTTTGAGAAAACTCGACTGTTATTTATTTATTGATTCGTTATTTTTTTTAACCAAGTTACTTTGAGAAAACTCGACTGTTATTTATTTATTGATTCGTTATTTTTTTTAAAAAAAATTCTGACCTTGATTCTTTCTCATTTTCATCCCTGGATGCAGTTTAATGACCTTCAAGAGTGTTATCTGCAAAAGCGACGTCAATTGGCAAACCAACAATATAATCCACAAGAGAGGGATAAAAATGTCATACATAGAGAGGGTTACAATGCAGGTCTTGCAAGTTTTCAGTCAGTGTTGAGTACATTCACGCGGTATAGGTACGGACACAGAAATTGGTTTCCTTTCAAAAAAAGTTTCTGAATGAGCAATACCATGGTCTTTTCTTTTGTTCGTTTGTTCTTTTTATTTTCATTTGTTGATCCAGTATTTGTTGGTTATTTGAAACAGCCGTTTGAGGGTCATTGCTGAACTTAGGCATGGGGACCTGTTTCACTCAGCCAATATAGTGTCAAGGTGAATTATTCTTTTGCATATCATTGTCTCTCTGTCAAACTAATATTGCATACATCCAATAGAACCTTTGTGTTTATGAAGTTGTGAGTGTGTTAGTTCCTTTAGCTCTTTTACGTTTTCTTCACTTTTTCCCCCTCTATTTTGATTACTAATCCCATCCATGCAGTTTTTTAGGTTAGGCTGTGTTTGACTTGCCAGTAAGGCTTTTATTTTGACTGGAGACTAAAATCCAAGAATTTCTTGTTGATTTTCCCCCTTTTAATTTTATGAGCCAATTATCTACACGTACTGTTTTAACTTTCATTGCAGCATAGAATTTGATTGTGATGATGAGTTATTTGCTACTGCTGGTGTGTCCCGGCGCATAAAAGTTTTTGATTTCTCCTCGGTATGATCTCAAATTATAGGTGCTTTGTATCCTCTTGTTGACTATAAGGAAGTTACTGGTCATTTTGCTCATGATTGCATATGCTTCCATTTCCAGGTTGTAAATGAACCTGCTGATCTGCACTGCCCAGTTGTTGAGATGTCTACACGGTCAAAGCTTAGTTGCTTGAGTTGGAACAAATTTGTTAAGAACCATATAGCTAGTAGTGATTATGAGGGGATTGTAACTGTTTGGGACGTGAACACTCGGCAGGTAATTATTATATAACATTCAACTTGGCTTTTATTATTTAAATTATTGCACAAGTTCTTTTCATATTTATGCTTTATACTTTTTTCTTTGCTTTTTAATTTTTTTTTTAATTTTTTCCTGCAGAGTGTGATGGAATATGAAGAGCATGAAAAACGTGCATGGAGTGTCGATTTTTCACGTACAGAGCCTTCAATGCTTGTATCTGGTAGTGATGATTGTAAGGTACTAATATGTGCTCATCTGTTTCTGTTATCTGTAGTGTAATACATGCATTTTCTGCGTCTCTGATAGATGACTCCACCCACTTTCACCTGTATGGGTAAACTTGCGATTATGAACTTTAGTATCATGATTTATGTAGCTCACGTAAGGACAAGTGGAAAGAGTAATTTCTCTTTCTTGATGAGTAAAACATCAATCGAAGTGCTAACCAGAAAGAGAGAGACACTAAAGCCAGGAGTAGAAAACAAATATAGCAATGCTGCGTTGGTTCCTATCTAATTTACTGCCACCATCAAGCTGATTCATTCGCATTCACTTTGTTATTGAAGAATTATAAATTTCTGAATTATTTTTTGTCCATATATATCCTCTTTTTATTTTTTATTTTTTATTAATGGGTAATTCATGATTGAGTGGCCATATTGACTATCTGGATATGATAAACAGGTCAAGGTTTGGTGCACAAATCAGGAAGCTAGTGTTCTTAACATTGACATGAAAGCAAACATATGTTGTGTCAAGTACAATCCTGGATCTAGCAATTACATTGCGGTATGCTCTTACTGGAAACAAAGTTTAAAGAAAAGCCTTATGCATCTGTTTAATTTAATCTTTCCATTCTCATCATGATTGATCCACGTCTTACTACAATGTATTTTGAGGAGCTGAGCTGGTAATTTTCTCGTCATTGTTGAAAATCTACATTTAATTTATCTAGAGCCCTTAGATTTTATTCTCCTGATTTAAGTGTTGAAATACATTGGACTTATATGACTTCATGATTTATCATCTTTGAGCTCCTCTTAATGTCCTGACTGAGTAGAGGAATATGTATCGGTCTTTATAAATTTTCACCTTTTGAATTCATCCATAACTCAAGATTTAGGTTTCTCTTTCCCAACCTTTTTTATGATGCTATTTGAATCAGGCATGGCATATCAGCCCTGTTTTACGTAAACCTGCCCCTAGTATAATGGACCTTAAAAACAAGTGTCATAGTGCTTTTCCTTATCCAGTATCACCATTCATTTCCTTATATATGTCGTCTTCAAACAATAAAGACGTGTGAGTAACTGCTGCCATTTTCAGGTTGGTTCAGCAAATCATCACATCCACTATTACGATTTAAGGAATGCTAGCCAACCGCTGCACGTGTTCAGCGGGCATAAGAAAACAGTGTCATATGTGAAATTCTTGTCTAACAATGAGCTTGCCTCTGCATCAACAGACAGTACATTACGGTTATGGGATGTGAAGGAAAATACGCTGGTAATTCATTTTCTTATGAAGAAAAAGTAAATTTTTATGCTTTAAGAATCAAGAGCTAAGTGATGCCTTGCTTTATTAAGAAAAAAGGGCGATATGATGACAATTTTGACAATTATGTTTTGGAAATTGTCTAGGATTGTTCATTTTGAAATTCTTCTACTTCTGTTGAAAATTCCGAGCATTGCAGAACTGTTTAAGCGTGTAACCTTTATCCAGTAACATGAGTTCAGAGAAAATAAATAAATAATTGTTTTAATCTGAAGATGTTGATGGAAAGTGGACATAACAGCATGAATGGTAATAAGATTCTTCTTTATGCCCATGAACCTAGGAGGATTGGAGTTTTAAGCTAGAGAGGCTACAAGACCATGTCTTTCTTTTCTGTCCAGGGAGTTTTTCATTTGTAATTTTTTCGGTTCATTGGGTGGCGTCTACACGATTTTGTTTTGTTTTCTTTCTTTTCATTCATTGTTATTGGTTACAGAACATGAAAATTAGATCGAAGTGGTTGAAACTCATAATCTATTAAACTGTTTACAGGTTCGAACCTTTAGAGGTCATTCAAATGAGAAGAACTTCGTCGGTCTTACAGTAAATAGCGAGTACATTGCATGTGGTAGCGAAACGAATGAAGTTTACGTCTACCATAAGGTAAGCATCGCTTCAAACAACAGCCCTCCATACTTATTACCTGGAAACTGAGCGAAGCTCTGTGGATATACTTTTACAGGAAATCTCAAAGCCTGTGACGTGGCACAGATTTGGCTCGCCCGATTTGGATGATGTGGAAGATGAAGCGGCATCTTACTTCATTAGTGCAGTGTGTTGGAAGAGTGATAGCCCCACCATGCTCACCGCCAACAGTCAGGGAACAATTAAAGTGCTGGTTCTTGCGGCCTAACATGTTGCAAGAAACTGATAAGAAAATGGAGAAGATGTTATATTCATTTTTTTTTAACCTACGCAGGATGAGTGTTTTGCTCTTTTTTGCAAGATGAGCTGGGATATAGCTTTTGATGTATTATTGAATGTGTAATTATTCTTGTGTTGTATATATTATTGAAATGTAAAATGGGTGAGTTTATAGGGCATGGTTTATAGTTTGTACTTTTAACGAGCTTTTAGGCAGATTAATTACCATTATAGTAAATAGAAGATTTTTAAGAATTGATGACTTGGGCGAACTCTCAACTTTTAGAGCATTGCTTTCAACAACGGTATGATGGGTCTCCTACTTTCATGTTCTGCCTTATTCCCCTCACTTCTTGATTGATGTAAGCAAAGTTAGCTTTTCGAGGTGTTTTTTCTTCGGTTTTTTACATGAGGGTTAAGTTCACTAAGGGAAGGTTCCCAAGATAGTTATGGAAAACACTGATCAATCAGCTGCAAGTCTTTCAACAGAATGACATTTGTGATTCTCTCTCTGTTTTATTTTTATTTTTATTTTTTTTTGAGGGGGATGAAATGACATTTGTGATTCCCTTAAGTGTATACATATCCAAAATTAAATCCCTTCGTTTTCAAGTAACCGATTTATGAGCTCAGTTTGTGTTAATGGTGTTTAAGAAAAATTTATCTGCACATTTTACCTACTTTTTGCTTGGTTATCCGTAGTTGTGTCAACAAATTAACGCCGTGACATTATGGAAGTACTTGCATGGTAACTCAAGGAAAAAGAGAATATATCTCCTTTCCTTATTCATAAGGACGAAAGTGTAGAAAGGGGCATATTACACACATATAGTGTACGACTTTTACACCTTTTCATTCCTCACAGGCAACAGTTAGTTTCATAACGTTCTTACAAGGCAAAGATAAACAAACAGATGATTATTTCAGAAATCTGTAACAGCGTATCAAACAGCAATACTCAGTTGAAATTAAGTATTACTCCCTGAAGCGCGTTACGTTAATATATATATGTATATATATACACGTATATATATCAAATATAAAAGAAACATAGAATAAAAGAACAATATAAAACCAAACCGCTTGTACATGCATACTGAAACATAAAATATGCCTCGTACTATTACAAAACAAGTGACAGAGCAGGCTGCTAATTAACCTAACGTTTCATGGAGTAAAAACTCAGTCTGAAGAAGCTCAGGAGGGATGCAAAGGGTAGAAGAACTTCCACAAATCTATAACGGGTTTCTTGTACATTAAACTTGTCTCGACCACACTGAATTATCTCGACCACATCCTTTAATTTATAGGACTTGCAAGGTCAAGAAAATACAGACGATTTTTGTGAAATTCAAAATAAAAAGTAAAAAATATAAGAGTAATAAGCTCAGGAGAGATATCGCCGAGTTAAACCTACCACATGATATTACACACTTCTTCACCGATAAATAGTTGACGTCCCAGATAATAAGCCGTGACCAAGACCACTTTTCTTTGACCCACCAACTGATCAGCCATTGTTGAGACTTTGAGACCAGATATCTACTACGTGGTTAGAGCCAAAATTTACAGAAGATGGCGTTAGAAATTTTTTTTTTCTTAAGTTGGCTAGGAAAACAGTGCCATGAAAGATGAAGAAGAAGGTGAAAATGGCTCCTTATATATACCAAAGAATTTGGTACCGTCATCATGAAATATTAATGGCTGATGTTATAATTGGCTGTTTAACGGGAAATTAGGTTGATGTGTCATTTTCTGCAGACGAAGAGACAAGACAGATATATATGATGATGAGAGCTGGTTTTCTTGGGATTCGAAAATTAAACTCTTCCTAGAGACGGAATTAAATTGTTTCATACTTTTCTTTTGACGGGTAATGCGGAGATCGTAGAGGTTAGATTTTTTTAATTATTAAATTTATATATATTTATATATATTTTTAATTTTTACGTGATTTTATTTAAATTTAATAAGAAAAATTTGATCTATTAATATATTAACGTATTTTTTTTTTTTTTTTTTTATACTTTTGGTTGATTATAAGTTTTCTTTAATTTTAATGATATGTATTCGAGGCACGAGTATTCTTGATAGACGAAAAATTGTTTTGCCAATGTCACGAAGTCAAACTAGTTTTTATTTCAGCAAAAAAAAAAAAAAAAATGAAGAAAGAAGTTTTATCCCCGGATTAGTCTGCAAATGCTTTTAGATTCTTATTTTTCACAACTCTATAGTTTTAGAGAAATTCTCTTATACGCATGGCGTATTCGTAAGTTAAATTTTTTTAACTATTAAATCTGTATATTTTTTTATTTTGACGTGATTTTATGTAGATTTAACGGACATAAAACTTGACTTATCGATAAGTTGACGTGCCAGAAAGTCTTATAATTTTAACCTTTTTTATGCAAAAAGACAAACATACAAACAAAATTACTCTTGACCTAGTAGTACAAGTATAAACGTGCATGTCATGTGCTACCTCTATAGTATTAACTTTTCTAAATTCTACAATTATACGTATCGCATTAGATCATTACTGCGATTGTAACAGTATAAATGCATACAAAAGTTAGTTATTAAATTCATCAAGCCGTGTATCTATAGAGATTTCTATAGTAGTCTTGAAAAATGAACTGCCGATACTGTTTTTAATAATATCGATAGATAAGAAATTAAATGCATACTTTATTAGTTTGATGTAATTTTAATTAAATTTAATTTTTAGAAATGGATACTACTAGTAAATAACCCTACCGTAGAAAAGGACCTACCCTAGTTCATACAATTAGATACATATTGCAATTGGTTTTTAGAATATATATATGTTTCTAATATCTCCAGCTGCCCAGCAAGCAATTAAACACCTTTTTTTGTTGTTGCTGAATTAGCAATTTTAAACACTTCAAAAAGCAAACTTCAAAGCTTGCAAAAACTTTCACTTGGCCAAAATACTTTAATTTGGTGGACATTTTTTTTATTAATAAGAAGGGCGGTAAAAAAAGAAAGGAAGAAAAAGATAGGCAGTGGTAGTATTAATGCATGCAGATCATGAGTGGGTGAAGTTTGACCGTTGAATTATTCATTTTGCTCCACATGCCTCTCTACTATTCTACTGATCAGTACGTTATCCCTTTTGGATCTAAAATCTCTGCCCTACAATTCAAAACTCTCTCTCTCTCTCTCTCTCTCTCACATCTCTCTCTCTCTATTGCTGAGGCAGAAAGAGAAAGAACGTAAACAAAACCCTAGGGGTTTAGCTACAAATAGGTGTCTTCCAAAAGCTCTACTTTATTGACTGTTCCTTTTGTCTCACTCTGCAACTCCCAAATTCACAAAAAACCAAACCCATATTCCTAATTCCTATGTCTTATGTAATAATTATTCATTGCAGTTTCTGAGTAGGGGCCTGCCTTGTAAGGTCAATCTCAAATGGCCCTCCCATTAAATCACTTCTGACATTTTGTTACCTTTTGTGGCATTTGGGGGGTTTTTTTTTTCTTTAAATAAAACTTGAATACTATTGCTCAATGCATATTCGATATGTACATATTGAATATGTACTTATTTTCTTGATGAGGTTTCTCAGTGTAGTATGCTGCTTGATTCAGTTTGACCCCAAAATTTTCATGATCTTGTTGTTTCTGACCAGACCATATAGTAAAATTCTGACCACATAGAATTTAACTAGTCATAGACAACTTTTTTTTTTTTTTAGAGAAAGTGTTATATAAGTGACTATTGGTAAATAATTACTGTCTAATAAATAAGGCGATCAAGTACTATTGATTATGTAATTTGCATTACACTAATTTCGAAAAAGAAAAAAATATATATGACGAACAAATTGGAATCTCTACTAATCTTTGTTCTTCTGATAATCTAGATTATACATTTTTTTTTTGCTCCGAGATTGAAAGAATAATTCTAGTTTGTAGCTTTAGGTTAACATAATATTGGCAGCTAAATAAGTTTGAATTTTCCCATACAATTCTCATCTCACAACAGTCTCACTTTACATTCCAATAAAATTGTGCACAAGAATAAAAGAGCACTGAAAATTATACCACATACTAAATGATATAAAAAAATATGAAAAAAAAACCACACACATTCAGCCTTTGAAAAAACCATTGTCAACGGTTTGCTGGAAAAAAAAAATTAACAGTTCATATCGTTTCTTTATATCATTTATATGATCTTTTTTAATGATCCAATGAATTCTTGAGTAACGTTACTTTTAAGAAAACTCCCACTAAGTATACATCGATACCAAGTATTACATGATTATTGAGAAACACCAGCTTGATTCATAAACTTGAACATAAAGTGAGAATAGAAATTCAAATTTTTGTAAGAGACAAAAAAAAAACACGAATTATGGTTCAAACTTAGCTATCAACCAAATGACACCCGAATATACATATGTAGAAACATTGAGAATATTTAACACTTGTGAGTTTCCTGGTCTTTTTGACGTTGAAGTTTTGTGCTTACACGGACAGATACCAAGACGACATGAAAATCACGTGATGGCTAGTGCATGATATTATAATTCATATATATACATACACACACACACACACACACACACACACACACACACACACACACACCTCTAAGGCTGCAAAACGTTTAATTCCTTATACTTGAGTGCACCAACTAACCCAACTTTAATGTAACGTCTGATCCATACCCCGTGAAGGGGCTCTGTGAGGGTCATCATGAAGCTCTAGCGTCATGTCCCATGTCATTTACATCGATTTAGCAATATCAATTTAATTGCTTTACCTGCAAAAAAGGACATAAAAAAAAAATAAATAATAGTCCATTGAATTGGTTTGAATGTTTGTCCAGTCTTTGTAGCTGCAGAAGAAGAAAGTGTGACACGCAAAAACCTAGCTCCCATTATTTGGCCAACTGGGTCATCGGCAGATTAATTACAGTGCGTTTACAGATGCCAAAATTCATTTGATAAGAATAAACTTCAGGACCCCAAATCTGTGTTATGCTTTCGGCCCTATAATTCTTTTTAACGAAAAAGTGGAAAGTTGACTCTCGGATATATTGAAATTTGTTGAGTGAACGAGTCTATTTTCTCTACTACTCATGAAAACTGAAAGAAAAACCATTCCATATATTAAGAATGAGCAATGTTATAGGCGCTCTCTTGTGGCGTTGAACATCATTTACTAATAGAATGTGGATCTCGCAGTACGTAAATTACACTGTTCAGATAGTTCCAAAACATTGATTGAAGCCCTGAACCACATCCTAACTTACATGTCGATCAACCCATTTTTTTTAGTGGTATTGTGTAGCACGGGTGGGGTTCCCGAGCATTTTTCACGAGGAATAGACCTTTAGAGGTTGTTTGGT